TGCCACCCTGGTCACCTTGCTCTGGATGCCCTCCAGCTGATCAATGTCCTTCTTAAAATGTAGTTCCCAGACCTGAAAACAATACTCCAGATGTGGTCTGCTAGGATAGTGCAAAGTAAGACTATGACCTACCTAATTCTGAATGCTAAGCTAAGCCTCTCTCAATGCAGTTAGTAAATACTTATTAAGCACTTACCATGTGCCAGCTATCTCTACATAGTAGATTGGTTACAATTTCACCATTCTGTATACAAGGAATCTGCAGTAGACTAGTATCGTACCAACAGTTACCCTATGCATTAATAGCAGAAGATAAATTAATAAAACAACCTTCAGAAATGCTTTTAGTCTACTGTTTAGTCTGAAGATTTGAGAATTAGAAAAGGATCTTAAAAATCATGTTCTCTTCTAACATCCTCATTTTACAGAAGAGAGAAGGCCCAGAGAGAAGTCAATCAATGGCCCAAAGTCAATCAATCAATAAGTCAACAAACAGTTATTAAGCACTTACTGTGCGTTAAGTGCTGGAAATACAAAGAAAAAGCAAAAACAGTCCCTGCCCTCAAGAAGCTTACATTCTAATGCAGGAGACAAAACACGTCTACAAACAGTATAAATACAGAGTGAATAAAGATAAACTGGGAAGTAAAAGTATGGCTTCACATAGAAAATGGCACACGAGCTGAATGCTGAAAGAAACCAGGGGTTCCAAGAGGTGAAGGGGAAAAGGGAGTATAAAACAGGAATGGGAGCTAACCATTTCAAAGGCTAGAGATGAAAGATGGAGCATCATTTATAAAAAAGTAGGTGGGTGTGGCTGAACCCTATGGTTCAGTGCATTGAGGTTGTAGAGTTTATTAAGTTGGAGGGAAAGGGGGAAGAAAGGATGTGGCCAGACTTGCACTTTAGGAAAAGGGTCTTGATGATATGGAGGATGGATAGAAGAAAGAGAAGACTGAGGTAGGGAGACATAATAGAAGGCTATTGCCACAGTCTAGGTGAAAGACAATGAATTGATGAATTAGTGAATGGAGAGGATGGGATATTTGTGAAATGTTGTAGAGACAGAAGTAAGATGACTGAGCAACTGACTGGATATGTCAGGTGGGTGAGACAGAGGAAGGAGATTAACTGTTCCCAAAGAATTAAATAAAAGTATATTTTACCATAGCATACATGGAATATTTTTTAAACTGCCCTCACTTAAGTAAAGTTATAGGATGTTACATTTGACGATAAGATGAGAGGTAAGAAGTATATCTTAACGTGTTCAATGTGTAGCAACTATTCATGGAAGTTCCTCCTCACCTTCCAGAAGTCTGACAGGGAAATAAATCAGGAAGACATTGGAGAAGGCAGGAAAAAAATCTGGGTATACCGATTCCCAAACTAGGAGTGTGCTAGAGCAAACTTGAAGCAGTTTGTGGAAGCAAATTGTTAAACTTTCAGTTTGAGCATTTATATGTTGAATATCAGCAACTGCTATAAATAAAGGTGTGATTTTTGTTAATTGACTAGACTTAAGAAAGTGAGGAATAAAATGCTAATAATGCATATTAAACTTAAAAGTGTGTCATTCGGTTGTTAAACATTTACCAGCATACCACTGCCAAATTTCTCAGCTTTCTCTTCCTTTTGCCCTTATAGGACTTCCAGTCCAACATTTCATTCCTTTCTTTCCATGAGGTCAGGGCAGAAAAGCAGAGTCAGTTTACTAACATTTATAAGCACTTCCTCTCTGTGCCAGGCACTGTGCTAAGCACTGGGGCAGGCAGCTGCCGCCTGCCTCTTGTTGCTGTCACTGCTAGTGCTCTAGCTGGTGACATCAAAGAACTGAGACAGACCCTGAAGAACTGTGGGGGTGGAGGCGGAGACCATACGGTGGATATGAGACCAGGGCATGACAGGGGCAATAAAGACCAGAGTGGGACTGAACTGCCAGCTGAGATTGGACCAGGAGACTGATCCCAGCTCCTAGAACTTACTCTCTCTCCACCCTGTTTCTTCAATTTTCAGAGCCAATGTCAGTGGATTCCAAACAGGTAAAACCCTTACTTTGATGTTTCCCATGACATACAAGCCGGGAAGAAGTTAACTACGTCCAATGAAATGGCGTGTGGTGACAGTGTGCACTGCCTGGGCAGTCTAAAATATAGAGATCAGCTGGATTGAAGGTAATTTCCCAGACAGGATCACCATAATCTTAGTATTCAGAAAAATACTTCATATTAAGAGGAAGCATGGCATAGTGGCAAGAGAAGCAGTCTTGCAGCAAGAAAATCCTGGGTTCAAGTCCTGCCTCTGATACAGACACACTCAGACAAACCAATTAACCTCTCTGTGCTCTAGGCAACCCCCCAGAACACAAATTGCACAGAAGTTATTTATCTGCATTGGTAGAAGGAGCTCCCTCACCAGAGAGTTCCCCATACCAGGGAAATCACAGTCCAGTCCTAATCTCCATCCCTATTCCTCTGTTATACCCTAAATCTAGACCAAATTGGAGTCCATGATTACCACCACAAGCCATGCAAGCTTGTAGGCTGAAGATAAGGAGTGGAGATACCAAAGCCTTGGGCATGTGCACTTGATATGCTCTGAAGAAACCACTTGGCAGGTAGCCAAATACACCACCTTGTACAGAAATTATTTTATGCTCTATTGCTGGTTAATGATTTTTTTTTATCAATAAAGCGACAGTTTACTTTTCTGTAGGCTTGGAGAAAGCAGGACACAAACAAGGTGTGGGCTACTGTTGCTGCAGGGCCTCAACGCCCGCCTGAGAAACCCACCAAATATACATGCACCTTGCATCATAGTCACCTACACTAACAATGATATGGAAGTGACAGTGTTAGCTTGCCAGATGACTTATCAGTAAGATTACTTCTGATAGGCTAATAGAGACCCATCAACGCTCATTTTGTAATCCACGCTGTTCACTTCAGGTAAAAAAGTTTTGGTGAGCATCTTTAGGTATGAAACTTCAGTAAATATCTTTCTTTGAAAACAAATGTGCATTTTAAATATAGTCTTCTCATACTTTTATCCTCTCCACATACTGAGTATTACGGTGACACTGGCCTCCTTGTTATTCTTCAGAAAGGACACTTGACCTTTCGACTCCATGTATTTTCCCTGGCTGTCCCTCATGCCTGAATACCCTCCCTTCCTGTCTCAGTCTCTTGGCTTTCCTGAAGCCTCAGCTAAAATCTCATCTTCATCTTTTTCAGGCTTGTGTAATACTAGTGTCTTTCTTTAGAGACTACCTTACACACACACACACAATGTGCACATAGTTGTTTGCATGGTGTCTTTCTTTGTATCCTCATCATCAACACAGTGCCTGGAACATTTGCTGTGGTTCCGTCCTTTCAATCATGTCCTACTCTTCATAACCCCATTTAGGGTTTTATTCGTAAAAGTCCTGGAGTGGTTTGCCATTTCCTTCTCCAGCTCATTTTACAAATGAGAAAGTGAGGCAAACAGGGTTAAGTGACTTGCCTATGGTCACAAAGCTAGTAAATGTCTGAGGCTAGATTTGAACTCATGAAGGTGAGACCTCCTAATTCCACAGCCAGTGCTTTATCCACTGTGCCACTCAGCTGCCTTGCCTAGCATATTGTTAGTGCTTAATAAATGCTTGTTTACTCACTAACTGTGGAAAAATAAACACACTAGTGAATTGTTGGTGTAGCTATGAATTGGCCCAGCTGGTCTGGAAAGCAATCTGGAACAATGCCCCCAAAGTCATTAAACTATGCACATCCTTTGATCCAGCAAAACCACTACTAAGCCTATACCCTATGGAGATAAATGAAAGAGGAAATATATGTATGTGTAATATACATATGTTATGAAAATATTTATAGTAACTCTTTTTATTATAGCAAAGACCTGGAAATTTAAGGAGGTAGTCATCTATTGGGGATTATTGGTTAAGCAAATTATGATGTATGAATATAACAGAATATTATCATGCCATAAGAATTAACAAAAGAGACCATTTCAGAGAAACCTGGGAATATTTGTATGAACTGATTCAGACTGAAGTGAGCAGAATAAGAACCTTTATATAATAACATTATAATGAAAGATAATTCTGAAAAACTTGAGAATGCTAGATCAATTGATCTATGTATCTGTCTATCCATCTACCTGAAGAAGAAAAATACCATACATGAACCTGCATGACTAACAATAATTCTAAAGGACTAATGATGAAACATTCTACTAATATACTAACAGAGAGGTAATGAACCCAAGATACAGAAGAAGATATGCATTTTTGGACACAGTGAATGTAGGAGTTTGTTTTGCTTGACTTTGCATATTTATTATAGGAATTTTGTTTTCCTTTTCTTTTTTTCCAGTGGGAATGGGCATGGGAGGGTAAAGGATAGTAATAAAGTAGCAAAAAAGAAAGAAAAGAGGATCACTGAAGCATCGTTTCTTTAAAAACGTAGATAAGAAATGAGAAGGAAGGCCAGAAAGAATCTTAGACGAGCAAAACATCTATGAAAGTTGCACACTGAGAAAATCAAGTTGTACATAATAGAGATCTGTAGTTGCATGTACAAGCCTCTTCTGTTATACTTTGTATATGGAAATGCCCATATTATTTGGTGTTTTTTGAGTTCAGAATTTTTTTTTTAAGGGAAAAGAGGCCATTAGCTTTGGCAATGAGATTCTTTGTAACTTTGGTGAGAGTAATTTCAGTTGGCTGATAAGCTTGTAAGCCAGACTGCAAAGAGTTAAGAAGAGTTTAAGAGGAAAAGCAGTGGCATTTTTTTCAAGGTGTTTGGCTGAGAAAGGAAGGAGAGATACTGAATGATACTTATCAGGTATGGTTTTATCTGGAGAGGTCTTTTTAAGGATGAAGGACACTTGGGTATGTTTGTAGGCAGCAGGAAAGGAACTGATAAGGAGAGATTTAAGATTGGAGAGTATGGATGATAACTAAGGAATTCTGCTAAAAAAAAAAAAGGCAGAAAGGGATGGGCTCAAAGTTGGCCCTGGAGAGAAGGGTCCCCTCTTTATCTGAGACTGGAAGAAGGGAAGATATCCAGGGGCCGTAAGATGAGGAGAAGGGATTGTGAGATAAGGAGAAAGAGAAAAGAGGGCGCTCTAGATGAATTTTTCAGTCCAATATGAGACAAAGACTTGAGTTGAGATGGCAGAGGAAGGGGTTGCTGTGAAGAGGCTTGAGGAGGAAGATATCAACTTGAGTTTTGGTTTTCAGGCAAAGACTTCCTGCTCTCTGTCTTTTGTTCATATTGACTATTGTGTATGGCTGGGTCAGAGTTCACAGGTATGTGCCGGTTCAGCAGATGGAGAGTCATAACTCTATAGATGCAATTTGCATATGAAGTTCTACGGCTTCAAGGAGATGATAACAGTAATTTCAAATATAATTTATTATTATTTTAATGGTATTAATTTCTTTTTGATACAATGACCTTTTGACAGAAATTAATTACTGAGGGTTTTAAAATGCTAAAAGGCAGAACTGAATTCAGTAAGAAAGATTATTGTCAATGACATCAAGAATTTGTTTTAATTTCTGACCTTAATTCTTTTTTTTAGAATAAGGAAAGGGCCTGGAGCTGTAATTTCATTTGTAGAGGAAGCTCCCCTTGAGAATCTTCCTCTACCAGTTCAGGTAAGCACCTTTTTTGCGATTTATAATCTTTCAAAATCATCTAGAACATTAAGAGGTTAAATGACTTGCCCAGGGTTACACAGCCAGTAGGAAGGGTATGAACTCATGTCTTTAAGTGTCTACTGCATCATACTGCCTCTCTTCAGGCATCTTTAAAATTTTAATGATATATTTTGTTCTTATACCTCTTCATTTCCAAATATATCCTGTCCTCCCTCCTTATAAAGTGAGCCATGAGCCATTTATTGCAACAAAGAAGAAAAAAAGAAAAAAAAAGGTCAGGAAAATGAACCAATACATCAACTGAATCTGACAGTATATATAGTGTTCCACACCCATAGCCCCCCACCTCTGCATAGAAAGAAGACAGGCGCACTTTCTTATTTATTCGGGGTCAAATTTGCCAATCCTATCTTCTAAAATAAAGCTTCTTGACTTTTTTTGTGTCACAGATTCCTTTGACACTCTGGTGAAACCTAAAGAGCCCTTCTCAGAATGTTTTTAAATACATAAAACAAGAGACCTAATAATACAAAGGAAATCAATTATATTAAAATATAGTTACCAAAATATTTTTTTAAAAGTGCACGGACTCCAGGTTAAGAACCTCTGTTTTTGTGAAGTGTGTTGCAATTACCTCGTCAATTTTTGCAGTTTAGATGTCGATTCTGGTACAAACATAGGGATAGTCCTTTTGTGTCTGAAATATATATTAATCACAAATTTAGTAAATATGTTGAGTGTTGTTAATGTAACTGAATAACAAATACAAAATGAAAACATAATCACAGAAATATACAAGCGTGGTATATGATCAGGGTAGATAGTTAGAGGGGCCAGAAAACCCTATTGTACTTTTTACACTCAAATAACCCTGACACTAGTCAGGCCTGGAATTTCACCTTTACCCCTAGAGAATTTAAAAATGCAAATAAAAACGCCTGAAAGAAATAACACTAAGATTGTCAGAGGCCAGGTTTTAACAAGGGAAGAACAGCCAGGAAGAGAGACATAGAATTTCAGCTATAAAGACCTAGGTTCAAAGGATTTTAAAATTGAAAGGGAATCTATAGGTCTTCTAGTCCAATACTTTTATTTTATTTTTTAGTTCTAAATTCTATCCCTCTCTCCTCTTTACTCTCAATAATATACAATATTAAATATATAATAATATTAAAAATATTAGAATTTTTAAAAATTAATTTATTTTGGGTATCAACAATCACTTCCATAAGCTTCTGAGTTGTAAATCTTTCTCCCCCTCCCTCCCCAACATGGCACACAATCTGATATAGGCTCTACATATACATTCCTATTAAACATATTTTCACATTAGTCATATTGTAAGGAAGAATTAGAACCCATAGAAGGAACCACCAGAAAGAGGAAACCAAACAAAACAGAAAAAAAAATTGCAAATAGTATGCTTCGATCTACATTCAAACTCCATAGTTCTTTCTTTGGATGTGGACAGCATTTTCCATCTTGAGTCTTTTGGAGATGTCTTAGATCCTTACACTACTGAGAAGGGCTAAGTCTATCAAAGTCAGTCATCGCACAACGTGGCTGTTACTGTGTACAATGTTCTCCTGGTTTTGCTCACTTCATTCAGCATCAGACCACACAAGTCTTTCCAGGTTCTTTAGAAGTCCACCTCCTCATCATTTCTTATAGCACAATAGTATTCCATTACAGTCATATACCACAACTTGTTCAGCCATTCCCCAATTGATGGGCATCCTTTCAATTTCCAATTCTTTGCCCCCATAGAAAGAGCTGCTATAAATATTTTTGTACATGTGGGTCCTTTTCCCATTTTTACGACCTCTTTGAGATACAGACCTAGAAGTGCTATTGCTGCGTCAAAAGCAATCCCCTTATTCTAAAGGTGAGGAAATTGAGGCCCAGAAAAATTACAACAACTTAACCAGTTAGTGGCAAAACTGGGATTCAAATTCAAGTACTCTTTCTCCACATCCAGAGCTTTTTCCATTCCACCTAGAGGCTTTAACTCCTATTTCACAGTTTAACATTTGAGGCAACACAAAGTGATTATAATTGACAAATATCCATACAGCAAAGCTCTGCATAAACAGAAAACCAGAAGTTCACCGAGGTACTACATCAACTCAACTGGCTTTATATATGGCAGAATCTAGACTTTCATGTTGGAAACTATTACACAAAGGATCCCATTCACAAGTGAAATAGTGCTAGTTAAAGCACTCTGACAAGGGTGGGAGGATATAGGCCAAATGCTATCTTCCTTGAACTCTTAAATTTCTCCTTTCCCTCTAAATGAGGGCCTGGGTCATTACTTTTAGGCCTTCAGCAAAATAAAGCTACCAGATAACATCTTCTTTCTCTCTTCCCCAAGATGAGCTCTACCCAATCCCCCCATCTGGCCACCTTGTTCTTGCCCCAGCAGCAGCCTCATAGGTACTATGTTCTTGGCACCACTATTCCTAAATGAATTAAAGATACGCTTCCTGTTGTTTGTCATTTCCTTTTTTCTTTTCTTAGTTTTTGTTGTCATGCAGTCACATCAGACTCTTTGTGACCTCATTTGGAGTTTTCTTGGCAAAGATATTGGAGAAGTTTGCCATTTCCTTCTCCAACTCATTTTACAGATGAGGAAACTAAGGCAAACAGGGTTAAGTGACTTGCTCAGGGTCATACAGCTAGGAAGTGTCTGAAGCTGGATTTGAACTCAGGATACCTCTGTAATCACAAGTTACTTCACTTTTCTGTGGTAAACATAAACTGTTCTCCTTTTTTGTGCAGAGGAAGCTGTTAGCCAACTGTATAAGCTTGCCTAACGCCTATCTTTGCTTCAGCAACTGCCTACTTTTTTCTTTTTTTTAAAGACAATTGGGGTTAGGTGACTTGTCCCGGGTCACACAGCTAGTAAGTGTCAGGTGTTTGGTCTGAGGCTAGATTTGAACTCAGGTCCTCCTGACTTCAGGGCTGGTGTTCTATTAACTGCACCACCTAGCTGCCCCAACTGCCTACTTCTTTCTCCTGTACTTCAGCAACTTTGAATTTCCCCACTCAGGCCTCACTTTACTCAAACACTCTAAACAGTTTTGTAGAAGCTGTCTCTCAACTATCTGGCTGTTTAATAAAAATTCTAAGCAATCTGATCTGCCAACTAGACAGCAGTTCTTTATTCTACAACAATCAAAATCAATCAATATGCTAATCAAGGATCAGCAACCTTTTAGAAGTGATAGGCCAAATTTTTATTCACTCTGAGGCAGGCAGGTGTGGCATCAGTCCCCTTTAAAAATGCAAACATGGGAGAAAGGGTTTATATTTTAGGCCTAATACACTATCAGTTAATACCTTGGGGGTGGCAGGGTGAGGGAGTGGGGGTGTCATTAGTTGGCAGATGAAAGGAAGAATATGTCTGTAAGGGAAGTGAGAGGGAGACAGGGTGACAAGATCTAGAAGTATGACTGAGGGTTCCAGTCTGTTTGTTTGTTTTTAAAGATGGTGGGGAGGCACTGACTGATAGAGGATGTATAAGGGTTCCAAAGACAAAACTGGTAAGTTCACTGTTCTACCTAAAGAGAGCTATGTCAATCTAAACTATCTTGCATGGGTCACAGCTTGCAGCATCTGGTTTAAATGGTGGCAGCCATCAAATTGAGAATGTAATAAGACTCTTGATGCCAATGTGATACTCTGTAAAATTCAGAATGTGTGAAATTAGGCTGGCATAGGTCTTAAGACATATACCACTGAAAGAACAGAAATGAAGTTCCTTCCAGAAAAAATGACTGACATAACAAAGTAAATAAATGTAACAGGAAGAAACCTACCGGCCAGGAATGAAAGGCACATGTACAGCTCCATAACCTCGAACCACATCATTTCCAAAAACGTCAGGTCCATACACACTTATCACTATTTGTGGCCCTTAAAAAAAATACAATAGTTAGCCACACTAGGTAAAAAGAGGTATGTATTTTGTTAAGCCCATGAATGAAGTTGGCCTGGAAGAAAATGCAGTTATAGAAGATGGCCTAAATATTACAGTACTTTTATAAGAACTAATAGTGCCTGGTAACTATTTTCAACAACTATCAATCAATTCATGTCAAGCACAACAGCAGACAATGGATTTAACAAAGGCTTTTTATAAACTAGGAACAAAGAAGATTTTTTCTATTGAAAGTCACTGAAGCATAAGAAAAAAATCCACCCATCAAGGGCCACAGAAGTCATATGAAATTTAATTTTTTGGTTTGATTTAGGGATAATTAAGAGGAGAAAAATATAAAACATTGCTCTAATTTCAAAATAAAACAGAAAGTATAAACTTATAGTAAATAATTATTTTATAGTTAGTTCATTATACATGTATAAGTACACATATACATACACATAGCTAAAGCTATATCTATATGTGTAATGACATATACATGATAAAGGAGAGAGAGAAACCCCAGGAAGATGACTGTTATTGAAATGAGATTGAATTCATAAGGCATGCTCCTTAACTGGCAGTTACTTAATTCCTTCTGTGCATACTACCTGCCATAAAATAACATTTACCAAGCAACACAAAAAAGCACCATGCTAGGTGCTGGGGTCACAAAAACAAAACCTGAAATGGTCCTTGCCCACAAGAAGCTCACATCCTACTAAATATGTTAATATATTCAGGTATATGTGTCAGTGCCTTGACTCACAGACTCTTGACTCACGTCACCAGGCTCTTCTTCAGTCATGGATAACTGACATGTAAGCCCTATAATTCCACACTTGAATATATTTTTTTTCTAATCAAACAATGGCATCAATATTTTACTGACATCTTCATGAAAATTTCAGAGAAAATACCATTTAAAGCAACACTTAAGGAATTATCAGTACCTTTTCTCTAAGCTCTGCTTGTTATCAAGCACCACTTAACCAAATCTTGGCTTGCAACTCTACTTTAAGAAAAGCTTTTAAATATTCTTACCTAACTTGGTTCCTCAGTTTGCCCAAAGCCTGCAGCAGCCACATTCAAACTCTGGGTTTAAAAAGTTCTTAGGTATTCTCTCCTATGGCCTTCATTAATACATCTGTTGAGTGTTCTCAACCTCATAAGACTCTGGTGTACAAGACCTCCATTCCTAGCCTAGAGAGGTCACTGAGAAGAGCAATCACCTCCAGTGAACCAACTCAGATGCTGACCTTCCACTGTCAGCTAACCCCTCAATTTAGTTTTTTAAAAAAAAAAAAAAGAGGACTATTTCCCTTTAAGGAATCCTGAGTCCTGAGTTTTTATAGCAGCCATATCCCTTTAAGGAAAGAAACTTTTGCCTGGTGGTGGGGGATGGGGTAGGAATGGTTGACAGCAACACAGATTTCAAGGCTTCTTGGTCAAAGCAATTATTTTCTCTGCATATTCTTTGTGCAGTGATACCCTCCCTCACCTCACAAAGCTCTCCCTGCTAGTTAGCAAAGTTTCTAACTTTGGATCCTACGCCTAGTCCCTGGCTAGGTTAACCATGCCTTCTGTCTAGTCAGTCCTACCTACTACTGAGAATGCTGTAACCTATCCTTTATGAATATCGTGCCCCAAACCCACTAATATCTGGCTTAGGGGGGGACCTTTTCCTTGTATCCCTGTTCCTTAATATTTAATGATCCAAATTTGAACCTTAGAAGATGACAATGATCACATCACTCACTCTTAGGACCATCAGCTGAAAGATGAAAGGATCTCAGAAGCTATCTAGTCCAATTCCCTCATTTTACAGATAAGAAAACTGAGGTCCAGGGAAGGGACTTGCCCAAGGCCACACAGGTAGTAAGCAAAAGAGGCAGAAATTTATACAGACAATTCCTCAGACACAGAAGGAAATACAGAGAAACCCAGAGAGATATTTAGGCACATACAGAGAAAATAGAGATATACACAAAGACAAAGAGGCATAGCAACATATGCATAGGAACAAAGGGAAATGTGGCATGAAATAATAGTGAGAAAGACACAAAGGAGAGACAGAAAAACAGTGAGACCCAGATATACATACAGACACATACACAGAAACACCCCAACCCAGAGATTTTCATGCAATATCCCCATCTTGTGGACTTTTAGAAGACTGCCACTAAAAATTTTGAAAACTACGTTGTTTTCCCAACTATGAACACATACTGCTTCTTGCTACTTGCCAAGGAGAACAAGATGAATTAAAGTCAAAGGTTAGAGGCTCCCCACCTCTACTATAAACAAATATATTAAAAGTTAAGTAAAATGTTAACCTAGTATAAAAATACTACTATTTTAAACTACCTTTTGTTAAGTAAGTTCTTCTAAGACACTTCCACTGTTTTTAGAGAAATATTTTCCTAAGGAAAATTAAAATATTTTATGCATGTACAGCCCCCAAGAGAACTCTAAGGTCACAAATTCTATTGTTTCATTAAAAAAGCCTGGAATTATAGACTGTAACAAAACATTTCCAAACTATTTCATGAGAAATGTTGAAAACTAGCAAGCTAATTAATAGCACAGTGAGGAAAAGCACTTTATAAAAGGGAACTAGGTTACAATTGTTATCATAATTTGCACATATTTACCCAGCATTTTACAGTTTAGAAAATGCTTCTGCATACATTATTCCATTTGATTCTCACAAGATGGCAGGTAAGGCATGAGTTATTATTAGTCCCATTTTTACAAGTAAGGAAATTGAAAGCACAGAATTTAGGTGACTTGCCCAAGTCACAGACAGGTGACACAGCCAGAACTAAAAGAGGCCACTTGACTCTCTTAATCCAGTTTTATTTCCATTAGACTATACTGCTTTTGTTATTTAAAAACAAAACAAAAAAAACCCAAACAAGATTTAATATCAATTTATCCAACATGTCTAAGAATACTATACCTAGCAGGCAAAACTGAGAAATCTTCAAGTATGTCCCCAATCCAACATCTCCTACTGTTTTTTTAACTAATGGAATGATGGCATTTTAAGGTTAAAAAACTCCTATTCAATATTTAAAACTTCAATTCGATATTCAAACTCCTATTCCTCCTTCCAGAGTCACAGTTCTGAGCTCCTGTGTCTCATATATTCAATTCTGAAAATAAGAGGACTTGAGACACAGCAAAATCGTGTCCAGTTTAGGCTTAAGACATTCCAGACTTCACTTGAGGGCATTAGTCTAAAGTTCTAATACTTTCCATTCCAAAGCCAGTTTTAATATCTTGCTTCAATTCCAATATTTACTTACAGCCATAAGGATTAGTACTTTTAAAGGTGATATCAATAGGGAAGTTCCACACCAGGCTTCGCTGTCTATCTTGGCTTTTAGAAGTAATTTGAGATATTCCCTCTTCTAAGCCCTAGGAAAAAAAGAGCAGTTTACAAACTTAGTGCTATACTAATCAAGCTACCAAGGGGATACTTTACAGAAATGGTCAAAATGAAAACAATGCTCATTTGTAGGAACAAAGATCTAGAACATCGTGGGAAGTAATGAAAATAAGTAGGAATAAAGCAAGGAGGGATAGCAGTGCTAGACCTCTAATATCTTATAAAGCAGTAACCATAAAACTTTGGTACTACTTACAAAAATAGTCATTCAGACATAATGTTATGACCATTTTTGATCTAAACTGCAAGATTAGACATGTAAGTCTGCCTAGATTTTAACAAAGCCTCCCATTTTACTCCTCAAGAAAAGATGGAAAAATAGGAGCTAGGTCATAATAAAACGTGGCTAAATGGCCAGACCCAAACAGTAGTCAGGGAATTAGTAGAACAGACTAGACAAAAAAAAAATCAGAAATGACTGAACTGGATAACTGAGTTCAGGAAACCTCCAAAACATAAATTACTGGGGGAAGAACTTCCTATTTGACAAAAATGATTGTGAAAATTAAAATTGCTTCGAGAATTTAGTTTTAGACCAACGTCTCACACTACCCAACACAATAAGCTCAAAATGGAGACACCCACCCAAATATTAAAGGTCATATAACAATTACTAATAATAAAAGAAACGTAGTTTAAAAAAATGAAATTCTACCTCACATATGACAAACTGGAAAAGGTGACAAAAGATGGGAATAGTCAATGTTGGAAGCGTTAAAAAGACATGCACATCAGTGTATTGGAGGCAAAACTGTGAATTTCCAACTATTTTGGAAAGCAATTTGGAATTATGGTAAGGAAGTAACCAAAATAATAATCATGCTCTTTGGTCCAGAGATCCTCTTGGTAGGCCTATATTCCAAGAAGGTCAATGATAAAATCAAAGGCCCCACATGCAAAATATATAATTGTAGTAGCAAGTATTATGGAATGGCTAAATACATTGTGGTCCAGGAATGTAAAATACTGTTATTGTGCTGTAAACAAGAATGGATGTAAATGAATATACAGAAACACAGGAGTATCTATATGAACTAATGTGAAATGAAGTAAGCAAAACCAATAAAGTAATATATACAATGACTATAAGCATATAAATGGAAAGAACATTAACAACAAAATAATTAAAACAGAATGCTGTGAAATCATTATAACCAAATTTGGCCCCAAAATGAGATGAGAAGGTGCCTGACCTCGTTTCACGACAGAAGAGCACACTGCTTACATCAGACCTTTCCAACATGTCAGTCAGTTTTACTGAACTGTTTGTTTTTTCTTTCATATTCTTTGCTTAAAAGGATAGATCTCTTGGAGGTGATATAAAAACCAAAAGATACCAATAAAAAGAAAATTTAAACTACACTGCATTTTGGTAATTATGAGATAAATGGGAATAATGATTCTTAGTACTTGCACTGAGATTTTGATGAAATTAAGCTTGGTGGATCAGATCTGTGAGTGAGAGGTTCACTGTTTCTGGTCATTCATGAACAAAGCCTTGAGTATAAGTGTGTGTAGTAAATACCTGTTGTTGCTGTTGGTTGTTTCAGTCATGTTGGACTCATCATGACCCCATTTGGGGTTTTCTTGGCAAAGATACCGGGATGGTTTGCCATTTCCTTCTCCAGCTCCTTTTACAGATTAGAAAACTGAGGCAAACAGGGTTTAGTGACTTGTCCAAGGTCACACAGCTAGTAACTGTCTGAGGCTAGATTTGAACTCAGGAAGATGAGTCTTCCTGACTTCAGGCCTGGCACTCTATCCACTGTGCCACCTATCTGCTCCTCTAATAAATATTACCTGTCAACAAATGGTCCATTTTTATCATGTCATGTTAGGGTATTGACTCTAGACATTTTATCTTTTTACAAGGGGGGGAAGGAGGGGGAGAAATGGGGAGAAACGTAAGGAGGGGAAACTGAGGAAAAAACAACACAATTTTGAAAAGTTTTACAGTTCAACTTACAGATGTTGGTATCCAGTCTTGGCCATAAACGAAACAATACTTGCAGTAGAGATCATTAAATTCAGGAAACTTTAAAAAGAAACCAAAAGGTGCTTTACTTCAATTCAACATTTCTCTTCTATATTCTGTGGGCTACCAAAAAGGCTGATTATTGAATTAATATGAAGTTGAGAGATTTTAGATCACCTAGCCTGGGGTCAAACATACAGTCTATTCTAGACCAGTGTTTCCAAAATGAGGGTTATGGAATGGTTCTAAAAGGGTCTGACCCTAAAAGGTGTGTGATCAAACAATCAGAAACCCCACCACAGCCAATCTTGGACTTCTCTCCAATACAACCATCCAGCCTCTTTCAACACTGTCCTACTGGGCCATCTCCTGCCATCAATCTCCTAAGTGAGTGCCTGGGTTGTGGGCCACTCAGGGAGGTTATAACCTGACCTAGGCACAGTAGGCTCTGTAGTTCAGGGACAATGACTAGTGAGTAAGCCACCCCACTCCCTACTTTGATTAGTTGGAAAGAAAATAACACAGGATAAGCAGGCATGAATGATTTGCAATTACATTAGTTCCCCCCACAAACTCATCTATTTACAAACTTTGCTATTTTCCATTCTTCCAGGTTATCAGGTTATCAACTTCTTCATCCCTGACTCTATACTCCAGTGAACTGCTCTCCTCAAAGTTACCAATAATCTCTTAATTGCCAAATTTTATGGTCTTTTCTCAATCCTCATCCTTCTTGCCCAACCCTCTGAAGCATTTGACAGCACTGACCACCTTTCTTTCTAGATGACTCTCTCCTCTCTGGATTGCAGTGATACTGTCGTCTCTTGTCTATCCTCCTACCTGTTCATTCCTCCTTAGTCTGCACTGTGGGATCATTGTCGGTATCACATCCCCTAACTGTGGGAGTGTCCCAAGGGCCTTCTTTTCTCATATAATCTCTCATTTGGTAACTCCATCAGTTCCCATGGATTTGTTATCTTAATGCAGATGACTACCCAACTACATATCCAGTCCTAATCTCCCTCCTGACCTCCAATCCCATACTGTCAACTATCTATTGGATATTTTAACCCTGATAATCTCAAACATGTTCAAAACGGAATTACATTTCCCCAAAACTCACTTCTCTTCTGAATGTCCCTATTTCAGTTGAGGACACCATCATCCTTACAATCATACAGATCTGCAACCTTGGCATTATCTTACAATCCTCATTCTCCCTTATACCACATAGTCTTCAGTTGCTAAATCTTACCATTTCTACTTTTATAATATCTCACCTAATTCAACCTTTATCATCTCTATTGAATTAGCCTCTTAACTGGTCTCTTTGTCTCAAGTCTCTCCCTTCTCCAATCCATCTTTTTTTTTTTTTTGGCTAGGCAGTGGGGTTAAGTGAATTGCCCAGGGTCACACAGCTAGTAACTGTTAAGTGCCTGAGGCCGGTTGAACTCAGGTCCTCCTGAATCCAGGGCCCTCCAATCCATCTTCCACACAGCTACCAAAATGATTTTTCTAGAATAATGGTCAGTAATTCTAGTAGCTCCCTACTGATTCTAGGATCAGATATTATTTTTTTTAATCTCCTGGTCTTTAAATTTCTACTGGTGTGTAAGATTTTAAATGTGCAGAACACAAATTAGCACTTTCATTCGAAGTTGTGGGAACGGGATTATCACGCCCCATGCGCTCATTTTACAGGTAAGGAAACTGATTGACATCTCAAGAGACTAAGTGATTTGCCCAAGACTATATGGCAGAGCTGGAAATAAAACCCGGGTCTCCTGATTCCCAGCCCAGGGTTCTTCCTACACCAACATCTGGGCCCTTGGAAGAGAAAGGCCGGAGTGGGGGGCCAAGATCACAAACGAAAGGAGGTGGGGGAGGGGGCCAGCACAAAGTCGAAGGCTGTGCTCTCTTCTGCCTCCTCAAGGGGTCAAGCACAGGGCCTGAATTCGAATCCAGCCCTTCCATCCCCCAACTCTTCATCTGAAAAACGAGGGGGTTGGCCCCCGAGGACCTCTAAGGCCCCCCCATCTCTAGATCTATGATCCCATAACTGCTCGTGTTTATGTGGCCGTTTACAAAAGGGGGTGGGTCCCGTATGTTGGGAGGGGCAGGTTCTGATCCAGGCAGGGAGGGGGAGTGACCCCTGGAGAGAAGGTGGGGGAGGGGAAAGAGTCTCTTGCAACCCGGGGGGGGGAAGGTAAAGGGGAGGGCCTATGTTGTGGTATGACTGAGTCCTCTAATTTAGCAGAGGGACGTGTGTGTCAGACACTCGTGTGAGTACAAGTTCGTGCCTGTATGCTTTGACTCCTCTGCGGGTCCAGGGGTGTATGTGTACGTCTTGGGGGGGGGGAGCGCTGGCCGCGGCTGTGACGAAAGCGTCTCTAGCTGACCCGGGGGCGTGGCCACGAGGCCCCGCCTTCCTTCTCTCCTCCCTCCCTCCTCCTTCTCCCCCAGGCCAGCCCGCCAGCCCGTCGGTCCAGGGTACCCCTCACCTGGCCGCTCTCCACTTGCCCGTTCACCATCACCAGGAAGACGGTGGGGTTGACTGCAGCCATGGCTCTCCGAGGGCCCCGCGCGCAGCCCGCGTAGCTAGGAGTCTCTAGAACGCCCCGTAGAGACCGACGGTGCGCCGGGTGGGACAAGCTTCCTTGGAATGGGGCCTTCGCGCCGGCCGCAGCTCCCGTTATTCCTGATTGGCGCGGCGAGCCTGGCTGGGGCATGCGCGATTGCTCCGTTTGAGAGGGCTGCGCGAGGAGGGGTTGGGGATGTGGAGAGGAGGGAACTGAGGAAGCCTCTTAACCCCTTGTAGCAATAACGTTCTGTGGTCTACATTCATACCACATTTATATACTAGCTAGGCGGTGCTGTGGATAGCACTCTGGTTCTCTGTTCTGAAAAACCGGAGTTCAAATGCAGCCTGAGATACCGCTTAGCTGTGTGACCCTGGGCAACTCAAAAAAAAAAAAAATCTCTATTTGCCTCAGTTTCCTCAACTGTAAAATAGCGATAATACTAGCACCCTTTTTCCCAGGGTTGTTATGGGATCAAATGAGATAACAGTGAACTGCTGTTTAAAGGAACTCTCCGTTTCCCTAATGCTTAACTTATGACAGCAATGTCAAAGAAATTCTTTGTGCCCCTTAAATTAGTGGGGGAAACCTCAAGGAAGAAGACTTCCTGGTCCCAGAGGGAAAAGAAAAGTTGTAGGACCGTGAATCTAGAACCAAAAGAAACCTGAAAGACCAATTAGTCCAATACTCTCATTTGATTGATGAGGAAACTGAGTCCCAGAAAGGTTGTGACTTGCCTACAATCACCTGGGTGTTAGGCATCAGAGACAGAATTCAGAACCCAGGTCCTCTGGCTGGAGAATCAGCATCTGTTCTTCCGAACAGGGGATTATAGCTCATCTCAATAAAGCCCAATATTCATTCAGAAATAATATATTATCAGAAGGAGCCCTGAGTGGTAAATCTGAAGAAATGGCTTCTAGTCCTGACTCTGTCACTGACTTTACTATGTGACAAGTCACTGCTCTCTCTGAGCCACAATTCCTTTCCCTGTAAAATGAGAGGATAAAACTAGGTATCTCTAAGGTCTCTTCCATCTCTGAGTTCTAGATACAAGTTTGATGTATTGGTGCAGCATTGAGGTGGTGGTGTGTTGTTGAGTCGTTTTTCAGTTGTGTCCAACTCTTTGTGACTCTATTTGGGGTTTTCTTGGCAAAGATACTGGAGTAGTTTGCCATTTCCTTCTCCAGTATATTTTACAGATGAGGAAACTGAGACAAACAGAGTTAAGTGGCTTGCCCAGGGTCACACAACTAATAATTGTCTGAGGCCAAATTTGGACTCAAGATGAGTCTTCCTAAGCTCTATCCACCGGGCTACCAAATTCCCAGAAATTACAGCTCATAGGACCATAGATTTAGAAGAGTTCTAGTCCACCCCCCAGATCCATATAACCCATAGTCTCTCTTCTGACCTCTAGTCTTTTATCACCTATTGGACCTCTCCAAATAGATGTCACATAAAAATTTCAAACTCCGCATATTCAAGATGAAATTCACTATCTTTTCCCTAAAACCCCCCTTTTTAAAAACTAACTTTTCTATTTCTTATTGGGGGTGGGGAACACCCAATCACTCAGGTTTGCAATCTCAGAGTCATCTTCACAGGTATGCACATAGAGTTTGTTGGGGGTGCACTGATATCCCCCAAAAATACAGTGTTTTGTGTCTCTTTTAAAGTTACGGGCATCTTGGTGGTGCAGTGGACGGAATGCTGGGCTTGAAGTTAGGAAGACTCATCTTTCTGAGTTCAAATCCAGTCTCAGACACTTAGTAGCTGTGTGACCCTGGGTAAGTCACTTAACCCTGTTTGTCTCAGCTTTCTCACCTGCAAAATGAGCTAGAGAAGGAAATGGCAAAATACTCTAGTATCTTTGCTAAGAAAACCCCAAATGAGGTCATAAAGAGTCAGACGCGACTGAAAGAAACAACAGAACAACAGTTATAAAGTTGAGTTGAGGTTTCATTACCTTGATGAATAAAAATAACATTTTAGGAGAGTATTCAACAAATGTTTATCTCAACAAAAGAACAAATTCTGTAAGTGTGCATCCTAATAAAATGATGGAATGTGCTATTCATATGTGTGGCCATCTTTGCCTTTTCCCTGTTCTCCAATGAGTTGCCAAGTCTTGTCTAATTTACCTCCCCAGTATCTTTCACATTTGTCCCCTTCTCCCCATTTGCATGACCACTATCTTAGTTCAGGCCTTCATTTCCTCCCGCCTGAACTATTATAACAGCCTCCTGGTTGGTCTCCCTCCATTCAGTCTCTCCTCTCTCCAATCTATTTTCCTCATGGCCACTAAATTGCTGTGCTAAAATACAGATCTGACCCCACCAGTCCTCTGTTCACGAAACTGCAGTGACTTCTTTTTGCCTTTAGGATAAAATACAAGCTCTCTTTTTGGAGTTTAAAGTCATTAATGATCTGGCTGCAGTTACTTTTCTAGGTATTTTGTACTTTGTCTCCTTTGTGAAGCTTCTATTTTAATTAAACAGGTTTACTTGTTGTTCTCAGAACTCAGAATTTCATCTCCTGCCTCTGGGTCTCTACGGAGGCTGTCCTTTTTGCCAGGAATGCACTCCCTTTTCACTTCCAACCCTTAGAATCCAACTTCATCCAAAGCTCAGCTTCTAGCAAATGGCTTATCCTGATACCCTGTTTTAGTGCCAACTAAATTTTGGCTGCCACAATGCATTCCATAATGTCTAGTTTGCATAAATTTTTCCTTAATGTATAGAAGGATATATTGGCTATTTAGGATTTTTGGAACTGGAAGTGCAATCCTTTTCTGGTAATGTAAATAAACTGATATTGCTTGTATAATTGGGTATTGGCCCGTGAGGTCCTAGTCCTTAGAACATGCATTCCTGGTGGATTATATATGAGCAATATTCTTTGCCTATTGCTTTTCAGGCATGCATAAATGTAGGGACCCTTTCCCTCACTTCAGAATATGCACAAATATCCTGTTTCCTCTCAGCTTAATGCAGGCAACAACAACAACAAAAAAGCCTTTTAATTGGCTGTTGAATGGTAAATAAGCATGAACACAAAAAGTCACCAGGAGATGTGTCACTCTATTTCCTGGTAGATTTCAAGTGAGGAGTATTGCTTGCTGTGAACTATCAGGTAGACTACCATGAATCCCTGAGGGAATGGCACCTTTAGCACCCAGGCAAATGGTGACACCAGGAGATGTATCAAAATCATCCATGGGCCTATCAGCAACCAGAGTCCTGGAATCAGTGGTAACTGTGACTGAGTCTGGTGAGGAGGCACCCTGCTAGACCAAGCTTAGCAAGTAGATTGACCCATCATCAGCCAAGACACCACATCCTGTAAGGAGCTAGGACATCTGAGCAAGGGGAAAGACTCATACATCTGCAGCAAACTTGGTGGAAACTCTGTGATTGGAGGAAAGGGCTCCCAGGGCTGGAAATTTCAAATTCCCAGGATGTTCTTGACTTGAATATTTTAGTACCTTTGTGCTATCAGCTTGAGCCTACTGTCCTCAGAGACCAAGTATGTGGTGAGGAGAAAGTGTGCCCTTTTTCTGCATTTGGGAAGATGTTTCCTTGCTATATATCCTCAGTAAATATCCCTTTGTAAAAGCTAATTGCTATCAACTGATTAATTAATACTGGGGGGATGCAGCCAATAGGGGATATTATAATATCTCAATCCCTCAAGGATATCCAATGATAGAACCCTGAGAGAGAAACTAGTCATCTTCTCTCTGGAGATCAAATAAGTCAATACTAGTGAGGGTTTGGAGATTGAACCATGGGGGATTCTTCACTTGTTAGAGAACTTATACATTCATATATCAATCAATCAACACATATCAAGTATTTAATAAATGTGCCAAGACCCATTATAGGTACCAGGAATATAACTATAAGGAATAAAATGATTCCTGCTCTCAAGGAACTTGCATCCTTGTTGTTCATCCTTAGTTCTCGAAGAGGACCAATGACTTCATGGGAGTAATGACTTGACATGTGTATGTGTGTATGTGTGTGTGTGTGTGTGTGTGTGTGTGTGTGTGTGTGTGTGTGAATTGGATGTAAGTGGGACAGAACTACAAGAAGTCAGGAGCCTCACTGTCTCTCCTCCAGAGTCATTGAAGTCCATTGGCAAGGCAAGTCAAGACACTGGATAGCCCAGGCTGCAGTGGGTACCTTGACCTTTCTAAATTAAGGTCTTTCTCAGGTTTCTCTGAGGCAACACCCATTCAATGACTAAGGGCTATGTAAGAATTGAGACAAAAGATGGCTCAATGTACTAGTACAAAAAGTATCAGTTTGAGAGGGGAAAACCCTCAGAGTTTCTGGCCAGAATAGAAAAGAACTGCTATTTACATTCGATTGGAGCTATTAGTGGCCATTCAATGAATTCTAGAATGATTTGGATTTAAACAAGGCTTAGTCAAGTAGCTCCATTTGAAAAACGATGAACTTTTTTTTTTGCTTTTTTTATTTTATTTTATTTTATTTTTAATTTTTTTTCCCATATGCTTTTGAGTTGAAAATTTTTTTCTCCCTTCCCCCCCCCACCCTCCCCAAGACGGGTTTACATTTACATACCCATTAAACATATTTTCACATTAGTGAAGTTGTAAGTAAAAATTAAAACCAATAGGAGGAACCATCAGAAAGATGAAACAAAATTCAACTTAAGGTAAAATTAAGTGATAGTGATTCGACTTCCATAGTTCTTTCTTTGGATGTGGACAGCATTTTCCATCCCGAGGCCTCTGGAGATATCTTAGAAGCTCGTAATGCTGAGAAGGGTTCAGTTTAACATTCTTAGTCATTGCATAACGTGGCTGCTACTGTAAACAAAGTCCTCTGGGTTCTGCTCACTTCACTCAGCATCAGACCATATAAGTCTTCCCAGGTTTTTCTGAAGTCAGCCTGTTCATCATTTCTTATAGCACAATAGTATTCCATTACATTCATATACCACAACTTGCTCATCCATTCCCCAATTGATGGGCATCCTCTCAATTTCCAATTCTTTGCCATCACAAAAAGAGCTGTTATGAATATTTTTGTACATGTGGGTCCTTTTCCCATTTGTTTGATCTCTTTGGGATATAGCCCTAGAAGTGCTAGTGCTGGAT